AACATGCAATCGCTGGTGTGCATACGTTAATCGTATAATGTCGCGTCCCATATGCTAAGTCAGAGTGTCACGGCAAACACAGCTGCCTGCATGTACAAGGTAGTGCAAAAAGAGTTCATGTATTAACACTGTCTATGGAGGCTGTCTTGTGATCACTGCACAGAGAGATCCCCGGGTTACATGCACATGCATTGACATCAATCACGCGAGAGACAAGACCTATGCCTACAAGTTACAAAATGATTGTTTCCGATTCTCGTGAATATGAAAGAAACTAATAAGGTTTCTTTCAGTGGCATTTAGAAGTTGGTGTGATGAAGTAAGACGTGTTCTATGGATGAACAACTTCTTTATTACAATTAGTGCGACGTTTCGGTGTAGATCCTAACACCTTTGTCAAGCAAGTATTGGATAGTGAAGTAGAAGAAGAAGAAGAAGAAGAAAATTGTTTTATTAGAATGTCACATGCTGCAGTACAAAATATATCGACATATAAACATTTCATTAAAAAACAGCACCCGGCCAGTTGGCCTACGAGACACTAATTACATAATGGTACATTTAAAATATAAAAAAAAAGAAAAGAAAAATTAGTTGTAACTTTGTATATTACTACACCCACACCCACACCCACGCCCACACCCACACCCACACCCACACCCACACCCACACCCACACCCGCACCCATACACCCACATACACATCCGCATTAAAATCCCGCTCAAAGCATACAAACAGGTAAGCATACAGACGGGTAAGCATACAGACAGGTAAGCATACAGGACGCTCACAGCAATCTCATGCAGAACATTCACAGCAATCTCATACAGAACACTCACAGCAATCTCATTCAGAACACTCACAACAATCTCATACAGAACACTCACAACAATCTCATACAGAACCCTCGCAGCAATCTCATACAAAACACTCACGGCAATCTCATACATGTCATACATCTATACACATATGCGTCCATATACACACAACTTAATTCATCAATCGTGTATAATAGCCTACATGTATAACCAGCATACATACTAACATACCTACCTACATACATACCTATATATTATTTATATATATAAATATATATATATATATATATATATATATATATATATATATATATATATATATATATATAAATATATATATATATATATATATATATATATATTATACATACACAGGTCCATCCATACCTATGTCCGTTCAAACACACCTCAATCCAAATATACTAATACACATGCAACCATACATCCATACATATCTATATCCATTCAAACACACCTCAATCCAAATATACTAATACACATACAACCATACAACCATACCTATATCCATCCATACACATATCGATCCATATATACATACACACATACAACCATACCTATATCCATCCATTCACACCTCAGTCCATATATACATACACACATACAACCATACCTATATCCATCCATTCACACCTCAGTCCATATATACATACACACATACAACCATACCTATATCCATCCATTCACACCTCAGTCCATATATACATACACACATACAACCATACCTATATCCATCCATTCACACCTCAGTCCATATATACATACACACATACAACCATACCTAAATCCATCCATTCACACCTCAGTCCATATATACATACACACATACAACCATACCTAAATCCATCCATTCACACCTCAGTCAATATATACATACACACATACAACCATACCTATATCCATCCATTCACACCTCAGTCCATATATACATACACACATACAACCATACCTAAATCCATCCATTCACACCTCAGTCCATATATACATACACACATACAACCATACCTATATCCATCCATTCACACCTCAGTCCATATATACATACACACATACAACCATACCTATATCCATCCATTCACACCTCAGTCCATATATACATACACACATACAACCATACCTATATCCATCCATTCACACCTCAGTCCATATATACATACACCCATACAACCATACCTATATCCATCCATTCACACCATAGTCCATATATACATACACACATACAACCATACCTATATCCATCCATTCACACCTCAGTCCATATATACATACACACATACAACCATACCTATATCCATCCATTCACACCTCAGTCCATATATACATACACACATACAACCATACCTATATCCATCCATTCACACCTCAGTCCATATATACATACACACATACAACCATACCTATATCCATCCATTCACACCTCAGTCCATATATACATACACACATACAACCATACCTAAATCCATCCATTCACACCTCAGTCCATATATACATACACACATACAACCATACCTAAATCCATCCATTCACACCTCAGTCAATATATACATACACACATACAACCATACCTATATCCATCCATTCACACCTCAGTCCATATATACATACACACATACAACCATACCTAAATCCATCCATTCACACCTCAGTCCATATATACATACACACATACAACCATACCTATATCCATCCATTCACACCTCAGTCCATATATACATACACACATACAACCATACAGGAGTCGTACTGAATACAATATGAACATACATTAAATACAACAGATAATATAAATGAGAGGCACTGTATACTAACGTACATAAACACACCCGCCTACACACCTACGTGCCTATATTAGACAATGCATAACTTTATGCTAAACAACATAGGTATCCACTGGCTTCCAATTATCTTAATCAGCTCTCTGTGTCCATCAATCAATTTACTGTATAAACTTTGATGTTAATAAGTATATATAGCTATGTTGTTTAGCACTATCCATCACTTGCTTGATAAAAGTGTTAGGATCTACACCGAAACGTCGCACTAATTGTAATAAAGAAGTTGTTCATCCATAAAACTCGTCTTACTTCAACTAATAAGGTCATTAGAAAAAAACATGTTTGGCGTTTATCACACCCATTTTCTGTGACCTCACGCTTGTGGTGGTTGACATACTGCGTGAGTGACAGTGAGTGAGTTAATGGTGTCGTGCCTGGTTAGCGAAAATCCAATTTTCCTTAGTATCAGTAAAGCGAAAACCCAAGTTGGGGTATTTGTCCTACGAAAGCGAGAAATGAGTAATTGCTATAAAAACACCGGATTACCGTAGTTTAGATAAGCGCCCGTGCTATACAAACAGAGGAGAGGAGAGGAGATTTACTAGAGAGTCGTTTCGTAAAAAATAATACAGTTGGATGTTTAAACACAGGAGAAGAGATGATCAGTTTCTTAATTGAACAAACAATTAATTTCTAATTAATTTTTAATGTGGGAGGAAGGACGTTTACCACTTCGGTGAAACCCACGAGCACGGGTTTGTGCTGACAAACCCAGAAACATAATTGGGGCGAACCGGGATTCGAACCCACGATCATAGGTTTCTGGTGTACCCAAGGGACGGAACTCTTTACAGGGAATCGCGGCGCCTCAGACCACTGTGCCACCCGTGCCCCTGTTAGTGAGTTGGGTGTGAGACCTCTTGAACAGTACTTAATTTATATCCAGGTGAGCCAGCATGACAGGAGGAATACCCGAGATGACACAGTTCGTGGATATTTACAGCTTTTGTGAAACCACGTGCACATGTATGGTGCTGACAAACCTAGAAACATCACCATAGCGAAACTGGGAATCGAACCCGTGATCATAGATTTCTTACACACCTAAAGGATAAATTGCGACGCCCCAGGCAACTGGACAACTCGTGCCCTAGTCAACCCTTATAAAAGTTAATCCAAAGAATGTTTACCAAAATATATGATATAGATTGTCTGGTCAAAACTTGACAATAACTTACAGACCGCCGTCATATAGATTGAATATTGCTAAGTCCGACATGAAATAACAAACAAACCAACAAAACCCAAATAATATAAAAAGTGAGAAATTGTTTTATTATTTAAAAACTATTTCAGTGGTACAATAATTACATATTTTCTTTCTCAATTTCAATAATCATGCATACAGTTAACAGTTCAGAAAATGAACTTTCGCATCCCCCAGTGGCATGGTGTAGCGTTAATCAATATAGAAAAAGCATTTACTGTTTCTCGCTAAATGGCTGAAATATTGCCTATGTGACTTTAAATTTGAACTCACTAACATTACTGTCCTAGCGTTTCTTAGGACAGAAGTACACAATGCATGCAGGGGAGGTACAGAGACATACACCTACCACACCCTTTCACTCATACAAACATATACCTGTTTGTGACCTGTGGTACCACAAACGTGTCATTTCTCATTTATAGAACTCGGTATTAATGTCATGTTCATGTCGACAATATGCTACGTGTTTGTCACATACTTGGGTTACCGCAGCAGCGTTAAACGTGTGGTGGCATAAACACACCCAATACAAACAGGGTGTTTGACCATATTTCAACATAGCACACATGACACAGCTGCATCTATATCCTGCGGTATATCAGTATCGGGCCAATTGATAACGTATGGCATGATAATGTTTCTATACGCAAAAAGGAATCCCCACCCGCGAAGATCCGGGGTAGAATATGTCTTCAGCAACCCACGCTTGCCGTAAAAGGTGACCATGCTTGTCGTAAAAGGCAACTAACGGAATCGGATGGTCAGACTCGCTGACTTGGTTGATGCATGTCATCGTATCCCAATTGCGTGGATCGATGCTCATGATGTCAATCACTGGATTGTCTGTCTAGACTCGATTATTTACAGACCGCCGTCATATAGCTGGAATATTGCTGAGTGCGGCGTTAAACAAACAAACAAACAAACAAACAAACAAACTCTAAAAGGAATCCCCTAAATCCGGGTGTGACGAAAATTAAATTTGCCCAGCGTCCATGGCATTTGTGTTCGTGAAACAGCTGTCCGCTTTACAAATCTGTTACACAATTTAAATCTAACATTCTATACACTGACTGGATATTTTAGCACTGGATACGCTCACGCGGTGTAGACTATCACGTGGACTATCCCATTTGATAACACGGATATGATGACAGTTATAGCTAAAGCGGGTTTTCCAGGAAAACGATATGTCATACAACCTTAGTACGCTCACACCTGCGTTATCACTTGGCATGTCCAGCATGGTGGCAGCGGGTTTAGGGGGTGCTGCAAGAGGTGCCTCTCACATGTGACATTCGGATCGGCTCATCTCGATATACCAGCTTACTGCGCATGTCAAGGTGATTTGACAGCGCGCCAAGGGATAACCTCACTCGTGTTGATCTGTCACGGCGGTGGGAGTCAGGCGATGGCAGCTCTTACCCCATCGCTCGCCGTCCTCTCGGTGGTCTTCGTGCTTGGGAGTACCTCTCTGCCGAATTGTACACTCAGATGTAGGGTAAGTTTAATTTGAACACTTTTGAGATCGGAATGTCAAGAATGTGACGATCAAATTGACATGTCATTCAAGTGGTTGAATATAGGTGTTGTATCCTATGATAACGGTAAAGGAGAATACAAGTGTGTAATTTGTCATATATATGTTACGTTGATTCAACTATGCACGTGTGTCAATCATTGTTATTTAATATGAATGACAGTGATATGCAACCCAAACAGATGTTCACAGTTAACAGTTAATGGATGTCATGATAACGGTTCACATCGATGTATATGTCAATAACAGTCGGGCTCGAAGTCGTTTATGAGCCTTAAATTTCAAAGAGCGTCATATGACTCTTCCTCCAAAGCTGTGTGATTATGACTTAGTAAATCTTGCTTTTAACAAAAATATTTTGTCAAGGTGGACATCTTCCAACAGTGACACATCCGTGACAAAATGATGTCCGATGCAATTCCCTATTTAGACTTGTACAAAATATTTCCGTGTTGTCGGTTTTCATTTTTTTTTAAAAAACAACTGACTTACTTTTGTATGTCTGTATGACGGGCGCACCGTTTCGTGAACACCTGGTGTCATCACTATCTGATAGCGAGTCATAAACACATGCTTATGATATAATCGGAATGTATAATGGACTCTACTTTTGGTTGGGATTTCGTATAATTATGGGGGCGGTCGGGTAGCCTTGTGGTTAAAGCGTCGAAGACCCGGGTTCGATTCCCGACATGGGTACAATGTGTGAAGCCCATTTCTGGTGTCCCCCGCCGTGATATTGCTGGAATATTGCTAAAAGCGGCGTAAAACCATATTCGCTCGCCCGTATAATTACCGAAAAGTTGTGTCGCTTATATACATGTATATACCAGAGGGTCTAAGATCTGTATCATTTTGGGGCTTTCTCCCGAGTTGCCGACTTGCTCAGAAATAAGTAATGAACTGATCAACGCGGCGGTCAACCACAACTCAGACACGTTAGTTTAGTTTGTAATAGCCGATTACTCACAGAGATAAAAACAGGGTTTTATATTCAAGCCAGATATACATGGAAGGAGACCCCTGACTTGTTCTCGGTCTTCCGGGCCTTCTCCCTTACGCTAATATCTGAGATTTGTAAGCAGCATACAAATCACACCCCCGTGTATCCGCTTCATGCCGCGCCCTAAAACGATGAATTCTTTTCACAGCCCTGGTCGTCATGTTGTTAAGAAACTTTTTTCTCATTCTAAACAAATACCACGGTAATGAATCAGTCGGTGGTATTTATTTCATTTGTTTTCGTTATACAGCCCGTAAATATCCGCACTTGTAAACTAATGATGCAGCTCTCCGATGAGAGACAGCCTGGTATTGACGGGCTGGAATTAGAGCGTGTAAGCTTTTGTTGGCTTTTCTTTTCATACTGTTTTCGGTTTAAAATTACAAAATGACGTTTCGCGTGACATTATCGTTTCTGGGTAAATCGTGTGGAATAACCTGTTTTGGGATAAACGAACCATGGCATTTCGCTTCAGCTACACACACGTTCCCATCACTATCCGCCCAGAGAGCGGGTATTACGAATTAACGGGGTCCTGACTGTCGCGCTTTCACTGCTTCAATACTGTCTCCGAATTCCGTTGCGACCGTTTTAATGATGTAGTCCCGATAGATGGAATATTTCACTAACGAAAATAACAAACACGCGACATGGTAAGACCTGAATGTCATTATATTATGCCCACAGTGCATATGCTGTATTAAAGGTTTGCAACGTTTACAAAAGTAATCTAAATCATTTGACTTCTATATTTATCAAATTTTGAAAATCGAGCAAAAGTCCCATTCTTTGTTCTCATGCAGTGTACATGTATTATGTTTGTTTGTGTTTTATTTAACGCTGCACTCAGCAATATTTCAGCTATATGACGGCGGTCTGTAGATAATCGACTCTGGACCAGACATCATGAGCACCGATCCACGCAATTGGGATACGATGACATGCTTCAACCAAGCATGGTCGCCTTTTACGGCAAGCATGGGTTGCTGAAGGCCAATTCTACCTCGGATCTTCTCGGGCATGTGGAGTATATTAATTGAAATTGGCCGTAAGAATTCGATTCTCGGTAAATATTGTCGCATAAGAAACTATGGGTGAGGAATTATTTTTCCTTCGTTCAGAATGTCGTTAGTAGTTCATCACAGGGACGCACCGTTTCCAAAGAAATATGCTCGATTTGCATATTTCGTGATTATTAAAACGTTATATACTGTACATAAAAGACGTTCGTAACATTCGAGTAACTGACTTACTATTGCAAGTTTTGTTGTGACGGGTGGAACCGGGGGAGTGGGATGTGCTCACTTGGTATCATCCCTATTTATTAATGATTCATGCATTTTCTTAACGGTTATATTCAAGGGATTTGTCGCTTTTAGTCTCAGTCTATTTGAATTTTCTTGGACCATTACACACAAGAACTTGACCTTGTATCAGTGCAACGGTATCAGTTTCATAAAGGTCATACCTTCAGTTACACACTACACGATAAAGAAATGTCAGGTTATCATGAAGTCACCGTGGTGTGGTTTCTATAACTTGATTGTCTAGATTCAAATAGTGACCGTAGCATGGCATGAGTACTGCTGTGCGGTGTCTCATGAAGATTGTGGCAGGACGCGCTTACCCTTTTTCGCGAATCTGTATCGATGGATTATCGACATTGCTTATGCTCTGGCGTTGATGTGTTATATCCTCTATTTGAATTTGGCGCTACTCTTTTTACGACTGTGACGTCTTTTGTGTCACATTGAACGATATGACGTCATAATGGTGACGTGCGGTGTAGAACGAAAGCTTGTTTTTGAGGGGGTGTCATGCTCAGCTCTTGTAAAACAGATTTCATCATTACAACGAAAGAGGCAAGCAAGGTTGTGGTTCATGTTACGAAAGCAGATGTTTCTATTTCTTTTGGGGCTTCTTATCCTGGCATATGTTGTCTATTGTGATGTTTAAAGCCCTTTTGAATTTATTAATATTTAGGACCTGTGAAGATCCGGGGTAGAATATGGTCTTCATCAACCCATGTTTGCCGTATAAGGCGACTGGGATCGGGTGGTCACTCGCTGACTTGCTTGATGCATGTCATCGTATCCCAATTATACGTGGATCGATGCTCATGATGTCAATCACTGGATTGACTTGTCCAGACTCGATTATTTACAGACCGCTGTCATATAGCTGGAATATGGCTGAGTGTGACGTCAAACAACAACAAACAACAAACAATATTAAAACACGTCCCATTTTAATTCTGGAAACCCAAAAGTCCAGAAACTCTACGGTCTTTTCCCAGTCTCGGTCAAATGTATTTACAAAAATAAGCATGCTGTTTTCATCGGAACATACTAAGGAAGAAAAAATGAAAAAAAAAGTTTAAAAACTCAATATTTACACCATCTCGCCCATGGGAATATTTTCCTTTACTCAAAACTCATGTTTTTGTTTCGCAAATACTTGACTTGAATTCCATCAAGTATCATCCACAAAATTTAACTCATTTTAACTTAATTCAACGATTTTATAGCGATATTGAAATAGTTCGCCCATGGCCGAGAAAAAGGTTTGGCCCATGGGCGAGAATATGTTCCATTACACAAAACTTATGTGTTTGTTTCGCAAATATATTTTAATGCATTCCTTCACGTATCATGACACAAAATTTAACTCATTTTAACTTAATTCAACGATCTTATAGCGATTTTGAAATATTTCGCCCATGGGCGAGAAAAAAGTTTTTAAACTTTTTTTTTTCATTTTTTCTTCCTTAGTATGTTCCCATGAAAACAGCATGCTTATTTTTGTAAATAGCTTTGGCCGAGACTGGGAAAAGACCGTAGAGTGTCTGGACTTTTGGGTTTCCAGAATTAAAATGGGACGTGTTTAATTTTCCGTCAATCTGTCATTCAAACGGACAAATATTTCAGTAAATATGTGAAACGACTGAAATATTTAGGCATGTCGGTTATCGCCAAGTGAAACGCATGTAACACATTGACTGTAACATATACACTTGTGTGTAAAATTAAATTAATCTGAAATAACAGCTATGTACACATGTTCTGTTCTGACACATCATTTGTAGTCCAGTGTACAGTTATAATATGGTCTCAGTAGCCTCTTACACTGACGTGTGCAATGTCAACATTATCAGCATGAAAGGGCCCGGGTACAGCGGACAGATGTGTAACGTAAAGCTTTATGACCGGGTAGTATTTCCTCACCCTGCCTTGGCTAGCATCACCGACTTTCTTTGAACTGGGTTAACTGTTATATGATTCATTGTTTGAGCCTGGTTTTGCTCTAGATCTGAAACATGCATGTCATTGTCGGGGACGGTCTGTTTGCCCTACCGTCAGTAAATCAACGAATCTGTATGTGTGTGAGGGATCGGGTGGTCAGGCTCGCTGACTTGGATGATGCATGTCATCATATCTCAATTACGAGACACGTTAAATTGCAATAGAAGGGATACTAGTAGACTGACATCTAGCTTCTAAATATGAACACATTTACAGGAAAAAAACCAGTTTTATCTTATGAAATATAACAATATAAAACCCAGACTCCCTTCATGTTTAGATACTGCAGTAATCTAAACTTGCCCACTATTATAGACTTACAAGGACTGTATTGGATATTTTCAGGTACTGCAGTATTCTAGACATGCACATTGTATTGAATATTTTCAGGTACTGCAGTAATCTAGACTTGCACACTGTATTGGATATTTTCAGGTACTGCAGTAATCTAGACTTGCACACTGTATTGGATATTTTCAGGTACTGCAGTATTCTAGACTTGCACACAGTATTGGATATTTTCAGGTACTGCAGTAATCTAGACTTGCACACTGTATTGGATATTTTCAGGTACTGCAGTATTCTAGACTTGCACACTGTATTGGATATTTTCAGGTACTGCAGTAATCTAGACTTGCACACTGTATTGGATATTT